CCCCCAACCCCCCGCCTCCCCACACGATGGCCGCGACTCCCCCGCGCGCGCCGACCCCGTCATCGGACGACCGCGGCGCCACGTCGTCCAGCTCCACCTCCAAGGACGAGGCCGCCGCCTTCGTCGACGTCGAGAAGGCCTCCGCGCTCTTCACGCTTCCGCCGCTCCCCGCCGCCCCCACGCCGGAACACTTCCGCGACATCGCCTTTCTCGGCCCCATCACCCTGCACCGCCTCGCCGTCCTCTTCTGGATCGTCGGCACCGGCGTCCTCTTCTTCTTCCTGCAGGAATGGATCTGGCCCGACTTTGAAAACCGCAACACCCGCGGCTGGCCCGGGCTGCCCTACCTCGGCGTCATCTGGCTCGTCTCCCTGCCCACCTCCGTCGCCACCCTCTTCGGCTCCCTCTGGTTCCGCTACAACACCCGCCTCGACCGCGTCCCCCGCACCGCACACCCCGTCGCCTTCCGCATCGTCTCGCGCGGCACCAATAGGCAGTGCCTGCTCGAGACCGTCAAGCGCTGCCAAGACGAGATGCGTCGCACCCCGCTCTTCCCCTACCTCATCGAGATCGTCACCGACGGCAACGTCTTCGACGCCCCGCCGGACCCAGACGTCATCCAACTCAAGGTCCCCATCGACTACACCACCCCCAACGGCACTCTCTTCAAGGCCCGCGCCCTTCACTATGCCTGCGAGCACTCCGTCGTCCCCGCCCACACCTGGCTCGTCCACCTCGACGAGGAGACCCAGCCCACCTCCAGCGGCATCAAGGGCATCGCCGACATGATCGCCCACTGCGAGCGCGTCGGCGACCTCACCGCCATCGGCCAGGGTAGCATCCTCTACAACCGCGCCTTCCACACCCACCCGTTTCTCACCCTCGCCGACATGCGTCGCACCGGCGACGACTTTGGCCAGTTCTTCCTCCAGCATCGCCTGGGCGTCACCCTGTTCGGCCTGCACGGCGCCTACATCGTCTGTCGCCAGGACGCCGAGGCCGCCATCGGCTTCGACCTGGGCCCGGCCGGCAGCATCACCGAGGACGCGTGGTGGGTCCTCCTCGCCATGAAGCACGGCTACCGCACCCGCTGGGTCGACGGCTACCTCGAGGAGCAGTCCACCCAGAGCCTCATGGACCTGCTCAAGCAGCGCCGCCGCTGGTACTACGGGCTGAGCAAGGTCATCACGCAGTGCCCCGTCCCGTTCCGCTACCGCGCCATCATGTTCTTCACCACCAGCACCTGGCTCATCATCCCGCTCCTCCTCCCGCTCCAGCTCGCCCTCCTGGTCGTGATGTTCGTCCTGCAGCAGGGGGCCCCCCTCTGGATCCGCATCCTCACAAATTTTATCGTCTCCATCGCCATGCTCGTCTACCTGAGCGGCCTCGTCGCAAACATGGTCGAGCACCGCATGCGTTGGTGGAAGATGCCCTTCTGGACCGCGGCCATGCTCATCGTGCTGCCCCTCTGCATGGGCATAGAAGTCGTGAGTGTCGTGATGGCGTTCTTCGCGCCGTGCTCAGAGGGCGGCAAAGGCTTCCACGTCGTGCAAAAGTCCGCGCACATGGAGGAAGAGGAAGAGGAAGATGAGGAGGCAGCGATGAAGGACCAGGCGGTGGAGGAGCAAGCGGTGGAGGTGCAATCGGTGGAAGATAAGGTATGAAAAAGGGGGCTGGAGAAGGAGGGTAAAGGGGGGCGGGATTGTAAGAAACGATAGACAAGTCTGATCTCCACGCGTGTAGAAGGCAAAATGTAGTGCGTTTTCCGGAGATGTTCTACTGTAGTCAAAGTTCGAGGTGGAGAAAAGATACGACGTACCCTTCGAAGGGTACCGTAGCGGTAGTTGGCCGATTAAATGCTTTATACTGTACCCTTACAGTATGTTACTGTTTCATACGGCAGACTACGACTTGTTCTTTATATCAGTATGCGACAGTCGCTATGGTGCACACCCCGAAACGAGCTTTCTCTACAAGACAGTATCCAAGCTCCCGCTTTCAACATGAGCAGCTGTTCAGCTCAGCCTGACTCTGCGGTCTGCGCAGTGGCGACGCGCCGTCGGCGCATGGGAACAGATCGAGGAGGTTGGTAAACTACGAAAAAAGATGAGCTGACGGTGCTGACGGTTTACAGTAATGATGCTGTAGAAGCAGAAACGTGGGAGGGTGGGGGGGCGGGGAGGAACAACGGGCGCGGTGCGTTGGGGGTAGCAAGGTAATTTACCGTAGCGAAGCAAATGACGGCGACCCCGTGTGCTGTACAGTAGAGTAAAGGACAAGCGACTTGCGAGGTAGCTTGCGAGGTAGCTTGCTTTCGTACGACGTCGGGCGGCGTGTTTTGGGGGGGTTGAGTAGAAATAGATCAAAAAGTGGGGCATGTCGCCTGGCATATCAGGGAGGACAGGCGTTTGGATACGTGGAAAGACGAAGGGTTGAATGGATGTTTGTGACCGCCCATTTGCTTTCCGGGTGATCGGCGGGGCGCCAGCGGTGTCAGGACGGCTCCGGCGGTGTCAAGACGGCTCCGGCGGTGTCAGGACGACTCCGGCGGTGTCAGGACGGCTCCGATGTAGAAGACGTGGGGTGTGGTTATGTCCCTCTTGTACCGTAACTTACATAAGGTGTGAGTCAGCAGCTGCTGCGGCAACGCAAATATGTAACGGCGTGAGACAGCGGCGTGAGACAGCCTCGGAGGCCCGTTTTAGATTCTGCAACTTTGTCATAAAAGGCAACCCGGTGTGTACGCCACCTCCCCTTGAGGATACACATTGCAAACCTTCCTACTGTACCCTTGAAGGGTCCTTGAACCACTCACTGAACTGACATCACCTGCATCATTATCTGAGACTTGCTGCTGATTCCCAAGCACCGTTCTGATCATCGTTCTTGTCGACAGCTCTGTACAATTGTACAAGTGTACTGTACCGGCCTGCACTGCGAGGACAAACTACTGTACTTGTAGAATGCACTTGCTGCACTTGATGTCATAACGGCCACTCGGTAACATGCCACTCCTGAAGAGAGGTGTTCTTCACCCACTTGAATTGATTGGGACATCATGAGACAGCCTGTCCTCAACTCCCTTCCACACATCAATATCAACCAACCCATGTACAGTACAAGTTGTACAGTACTCTACCATCGTCTACCATCGTATGATATAAACAGTATTGATATTCGACCTTTCACTACTGTACCTTCGCCCTCCCTGAGGATACTATCCTCAGGGAGGGCAAAGGTACAGTATCCTCAGGATACACATGGCAAACCTTCCTACTGTACCACTCACTGAACTGACATCACCTGCATCATCATCACACGTAAAACCAATAGCGCTTTCTCACACTGCCTACGCGTTTCATACTCTCACACACAACCAAACAGACACACGCACAACGCACACCCACTGAATTCAGTGCCTTCCAAAACTATCACCTAAACCAACATAAAGTTTTATTCCAATTCTGCACTTGCCTCTCTCTTTCGCACGCGAAAACCGACGATGCCCGAAGATGAGGTAATACATCCGGAGTATCCCACGCGGCCGGTCGTCCCGCCGCCCACGCATCTTCAAACAATTCACAGAACGCCTCACGAAACTAATTTACCGCTTCCGCCCCGCCTTCATTTCGCCTCATCATTGCTTAACTGTTCTCTCGAGCGTCCCCACCGTTCCCCTTCCCTATTCCTCCTCCGCTGAATGCTTTCCCAGACACGGGCAGCACTGTGTTCGTCGACACTCGGTCCCGCTTCCGCAACCACGCCCGGGCCCGTCGTTCTAAAAACGATCACTTGTTCGACCCCTCGTTTGGCATGTATCACGTCCTTCCGGATGACTAGATAGCGCGTGTGATGTGAGGCTCCAGGTGTTGATGCTCGGACGCTGCTCTCGGGAGGCTGGTGGTGCGGGTATGTCTTTGCATGGAAAGGGTGCGCGAATGGGCTGTTCGATGAAGGGCTGCGTAATTCTTTTACGTACGCCAGTCACGAGGAGGGTGGGGCAATGCCAGAGTTACTTTATTCGGCCGGGAAACATGACAAGCCTGTTTGTCGGTTTCGATAGTAGGATGTCATTCTGCACGACGAAAACAAAGAAGATGCCGTTTGCCGGGATCAAGATAATACGGGGGGGGGGGGGGGGGGGGGGGGGGGGGGTCACCGTATAGTGCCTACTTCAGCAGTGCCTCTCTATGTAGTG